TATAATAAAAACATTAAAAATTACAAAAACACCCCCACCCACCCATTAAATTCCGGTAACCGACCACTACCGTCGGAGGGTGGTCGGAGTCGCCGTATCAGCATACAACCGGCAGGATCTGGCCGGTCATGCGCCAAGATGGTCATTTCCAGCCAGATATGGTTGTCGTTGACGATTAGCTATGGCCAACGCATCTTTGGCCACAGATCTAGCCGAAAAATGATAGATCAGAGCACTATCGACCATATCCAGCCGGTAGTGTGCCATTATATCAGATTCCGGCCACCTTCCGACGGTGGTGGCCGGAATCTGGCAAATGTAGGTGAGTAGGGGTGTTTTTGTTAATTTCTAAATTTTTTTTCTAGGGGTGTTTAGTTAAATTAATAAACTTAAGGGGTTTAAAGTAATTGAAGAAAGTAATAATATTTTCTAAATAATGAAACAAACGGTTATTTTGAGAATATAAATGGAAATAGGGTAGAAAATAGTTTACCAAACACACCCGAGAATTTCTTCAATACAATAATTGAATGTCGGGCTAACTCAAAAAGATTTATCATAAATTATTATTAATTTAATAAAATAAGAAACGAGTTAAATCCTAAAAGGTCTATAAAACTGATTTAATAGATGAACCCCAAAAGGGAAAAAAAATATAATTAAATAAATAAATAGTTTGTAATCTTGGAACTATAGAATCTTTAAAAATTTTAAAAACTAGAAAAACTTGTTAAAGGTTTTGATATAAATAATGCTTTTTGGTTCCAGGGGGTTGACCTAGTGGTCAAAAAAGTTTCTTCTTTTTATTGACTTTCTGGGTTCAAACCATTTTGAGATCACTTACTACGTTTGTGACTTATAGGGTATTCAATGAAACATATTGGGCTTGTAGGATATTTAATGGACCTCAAAGATTAGTTGAATGATGTCTAAGACTCTAAGTTGATCCGGACACTCCGATTATTAAAATAATAATAATAATAATACTTAAAAACAAAACGCTCTTTTGTCTTTTGTTAATATGAAACTCAACATGCAGAAGTAAGGACTTCGACTCCGGACACATTATCTGGACCAATATGGACTTCAACTCTGACCCATCACTGGGCTCCGGCCCAAATAAATAGGAAATGTAACCTAAGAGCACTGGGCCTCGAAGTACCTATCTGGTATTAAATAAAAAGTCTATGGTTGAATTGGAACTTTAAGAAAATATAACAAAAACCCTAGATACCGAGCCGTGCATAAATACCACAAAAACCCTAGTTCCTGTCTTTATTGGTGTTCCTTCAGCAGTCGAAGATGTCGAAGCGAGGTAAGTGCCCTCTATTTTGACTTGTGTTTCATTTCCTTCATCACTATTTGCCTTAACATTTCGTCTCATTTACTGATATAGCGACTAGATAGATCGTGTGATTTGATTCTTCTTCTTTATTTAAGGATCTGTTTGTTTGTCGATAACTCATAATAAATACGCACCAAAGCAAACGGTATAGAACTGCTTTGCTTAGTGGATTTAAACATATTTTATGTAAAAATCTATTATTTATTTCTTTAGTTTTTTTTTTTTTTTAATAGTAAGGAGATTGAATATGTGTCCTGTTTAAATCCAGTGGGAAAGAGGAGATATTGTCTAATTTGAAGAATTTTTTTTAAAAAATTTGGTGGCCTTAAGAGTTGTTCTGTACGTTGTGTGGTGGTTGTTTCTTGTTATTTTGGGGGGGTGATAATTGAAGAAAAATGGTTTATTTGTGTTGGTTTTGGCTATAGGACGCGGAGGATCAGCTGGTAACAAGTTCAGGATGTCACTGGGTTTGCCAGTGGCAGCTACTGTGAACTGTGCCGACAACACTGGGGCAAAAAACCTTTACATCATTTCAGTAAAGGGAATCAAGGGTCGCCTCAACAGGTTGCCATCTGCTTGTGTTGGAGACATGGTGATGGCCACCGTGAAGAAGGGAAAGCCCGATCTCAGGAAGAAGGTTATGCCCGCAGTCATTGTGAGGCAGCGCAAACCCTGGCGCAGAAAGGACGGTGTCTACATGTACTTTGAAGGTTATAATTCTTTCTTCAATGTGCTGTTTGTGCGTTGTGTTAATGGTTGGATTTGTGAACTATTGTTGGTTGTGTGATTCTTATTTTACGTTGTGATTATATGAATTGCTTTAATTTGCATTGATTACAATTGCTGCTGTTCTGTTGGCTACTAATTGCATTTGAACATGTTGGATATATGTTAAATTGTGTTCTTTCTGTAGGAATCATCTTGTATATAGAAGTTGTAGATACATAACTGCTAGTATTATCATGACTACTATCAACTAAACAGGTGTTGCTGGTAAAGCGGGCATATTTCCCATACTTTGGATCTGTGTATGTATTATGGTTGGATGCTTCCTGAGACCAGCGATATTATCATAGCAGTTGAATTTTATATCGAGTGGGATCTCTTCCATATAGAATCTTGCTTTTCGCATTTCGACACATTTCTTCTATGCCTCTTTGCCTTTTGTTGAATACTTTTACTTTTATTTAAAATGTTTTGAAGTGGCATTGCTTGGTTGTTTTGCTGGTGATGTGGTGCTGAGGATTGCTATTTTTAGGTTTCTCTGCACCTCCCATACCCAGCGATAGTGAAATACCAACTTACCCTATTACCGGATGGTAAAATCTTTTATCATCCTGTCAAGGTTGGCATACTTGTAATTCGTTTGAGTTTAACATTAGGAAAAGATGATTAGGAAGGTATATAGGATCATATTGAGCTTGCCATGTTTTTGTTATCTGGCTTTAATAATCTCTGTTCACCAGACATAAGTCAGGTATCCACCTCAATACTCAATGGTTGATACAGTTACGAGTCTGGAAAATTGAACGTGTCCATCGTTGCAGAAGTGGTGATGTTTTTGAAGCTCATTTCTGCTCCATTTGGGCCCAATACATCTTTGTATTCTAATAATCCATATTTTTCATATGTTTTGAGTCTCTGATATGTTCAAAGTCGAAAGCATAAATGTTGCCCTGTTTTGCTGGTTCATTTCACAATATGTTACACAAATATTTGGACAATGAATTCTTCTTTTTATTCTTTTTTAAAGTTTATGGAAGACAAATGTGCTTTTTGGTGCTAGTTTCTGATGAAGCAGTTTTTTTTTTTTGGGGGGCAGATAATGCTGGTGTTATCGTGAATCCTAAGGGAGAGATGAAAGGTATGGCCAGGACAAATTATTTATTTATAAGAATTTAAACTCTTAGACAACTGGATGTCCAAAATTGCCAATTGAACTGTTGCAAGAAATTTTTTTCTCAAAACTGTCAAATGTTTCAATTTCAATTGATTATTTTCGAAGTTTGCCTGATTATGAAGTAACAAAACTTTTGCGTAGAAATCACACCCTTCACTTTTAGTTGATGTATTATTATTATTATTATTTTTTTATTATCTTAATTGTCCATTGATTATTATATATTAGTGTTGACAAATCCTACTGGGTACTCATTTTGTAGGTTCTGCTATCACCGGTCCAATTGGTAAGGAGTGTGCTGATCTTTGGCCAAGGATTGCTAGTGCAGCTAATGCCATCGTTTAAGAGCCCTAGATTTATATCTTCTATTTTGTCTGCCTTTTAGACAGTTTTTCAAGTCTTGTGATAGGAGTAAAGCTTGTGTTGACTTGACAGAAGACAAAAGATTATGTTATTTGGATTTCATGTGTTACGACGTTTTTGTTGGATAATGATATAATTTTGATGTTATTGTTTTGCTAAATTCAGTCTGCCCTGGTTTGCGGCGTTAATCATAAACATGTTTTGGGGTTTGAATGAAATTATATTAAGATAAGAAATTTAGTATATGATATTCTCAGGATAACATTATATGATTATATGAAATAGTGAAATCATCTATATTTCAAGCAGTGGAAATTGTTTGAATCAATATTGTGATACCGTAAATATCAGTATTCATTCGGCCTTAGCAATACGTCTCATGTTCTCCCGAATCTCTCTTGTGAAAACTTAACTAGTTCCGCTGCATCGCATATTATATGATATGAACAAGTATGGCAGAAGATGTATTATTAAACCTAATATTTAAATTCGACAATAATTAGTTGTCTCTCTCTGGTCATTTTATTAATAGTTTTTTAGTAAACGATTTTTTCACTTAAATAATTGTTTAATGATAGACTCTTTAAATATCACTTTCTCATTCATTCAAAAAAATGTTTTTAATGACACTTTCCATGGACCTTGTTAATTGTCGATAATTAAAGTTTGCACAATCATCATTTCAAGTCAAATTCCAGTCAATCACAATTATTAAAATTCAATATTTCATCATCAAAAGACTCGTTAGCCTCCCTTTTTAGAAAACCGAACAAAGTTTGCTCTTCGTTTGCCACCAAATCAAAATGCGTATTTTTTGGATGGAAAAATAATATTTTAAAAGTCTTATCAAGCCATTATTATTTGGGTTGGAAAAAGTGGTTAACTCAAATAATAATTGAAATAATGCCAATTGAATAATGGAATAATGAGCACGATTCCAGGAAGCAAGTTATAAGACCACTGGGATTGTGTAAAACCGCAATTTACTGACTGGTAAGGTACCCAAATTTTGTACAGTTCTAACAATGTTTGCAAACCAGTGACAGTAGAAAACTTTTGATGAAAGTTCTTCATTAAATTTTATGGTTGGACATAATTATCACGATAAAACAATACAGTGACAATGTTTGCCAATATTTTTTTAGTTGGGGACATTGCATCTGTCGGTGCAAATTCTTGGGGACCAATAAAGCCTCCAATCAAACTGGCATTGAGGGACTCTTCCCACAAAAACTGCAGATCCTACATTAACTACACAGAAACACAACCCAAAAGCCTTCGAATGGAGGACATTCCAGGCGAAACTAGAGGCAGAGGCTCATAGCAAATATCCAACATTTAAAACTACAACCATTTACGTACGCAGTCTTTTTATTCTAAAACAAGTCCAACATTCACCAACATAACCTCTTTAACTCATCTTAGCTGTAGAGCCTGCATTCAGTTTCGCGAAGTACTCGAACAAACTTCCATCAAAACAGCGCCTCACTGCCTCTTTTGAAAGGAAACCTTCCTCGTCCCTTGCCAAAATGTACAAAACAAACCATTCCCCTTTACTGGCAATCCTGCAATGCATATGCAACCCAACATTGCTCTTATTTACCGTATTTCTATATGTACAATCATCTTCATTTTAATAAAATTGACAGTTCAATAGAAAAAAAAAAGTGGATGCACTGATTAACAACTTACCAGCCGAAGAAGTCCATTGTTACTCGGTTTCCCTCAGTCATGTTCCAGAGCTCTCTCAATGTTAACTTATCAGGCGCTGTCCGAGAATATTTGCTAAATGCGTTTTCGAGATTTACAGGCATGTACCTGTATTTGGCTTGAGAGATTAAACTTCCATAAGGACAAAAGAAGTGTAAAGTAAAGATTGGTTTTCTCTAACCTTCCTTCAGTGTCGTAAGTTCCCGAGTCGCTGCCGTGCTTGGCTTTGTGTATGTTGTGTATGTATATGGGTAAGAAAGGAGATGGGATCCACCCCTGCAAAATCTCGCTTGTATCAAGTCATAACAAATAATTTTTGAAACTTCAATCATTGAAATGGCTTACTTCAATCATTCTAATAGAATTAGATGATTATTAGATTGTCACATATGGATCATAACTCACCGGGAGAGTAGGATAACTCAGACCCAAGTTGATGAAAAAGGCCAATATCACAGAGACTATCATATTGAAACCAATTGCTCTTAGTCCTGATTGAAAAGAAGTCCAAATTATTATAAAAGAAATGCGAATTTACAATGGAACAAGCAATATCAACTGGTTAATCCAGAATTATTGTCTACAGCATCGATAAAATATTTCACCTGTATAAGTCTCCCAAGGGTATATGATCCCATTTTCATCTTGGTCAAAAAAGGCTACATGCTGCTGAAGAACACTCAGGTTGCAATGATTGTGCCCTAGTGTTCCATTCGGATGGTTCGTATCCGGAGCTTCCAGTGCTCTTGGCATATCTGAGTTGAACATAAATCGGTGAAAATCGTTAAATCTAAGTAGGGAACAGATATAAGAAATAAGGTTTTGCCAAGAGAGCAGGCACCTTATTGGCCCACTGCATGTCAAATGGCTGTAGAATTATCACGGTTAGCTCAATAACCACCCATTAGACTTGAAAGAATAAAATTACAGTTTTATAAGGGATCACAACCATGCTAACGGGTGAATTTCTAGTTACAAATTTACAGTCTGTTGTTTTTTTTTCTAAACATTTCAACCTATGTTAGTGGTTTGATCGACCAATTGCAGTCACAACTAGCTTAAATTTGTAATGTAAAATCTAAATTAACAATAAGATTAATCAAATTGGTTGGTTCATGATCACAGAAAAGAAATAAAAAAAAGAGAGGTGAAAATTGAAGCAAAAATGCATACAAGGCTTGGGAAGTTTGTCTTCCAAGTCAGTGCGGACTCTTCTCTCATAAGTGACTGGAGCATACGGAGCCTCAGTTGCCATTGCATCCATGTCCATGATCTCTTCACCAAACTCTTCAAATATTCAATTACCGATCACAAATTGAGCTCACAGCTAGTTGCTTATAAAAGAATAGTAGTGGGAAATGATGGAAGCAAAAGGAGAGACGCAAACTAAGGTTATGCGTGGCGTACATGCAAAAGGTGAAGTGACCATGAGCGGCGTTGTGTCAACAGCCTACGGATTTTTGATACATGTGTTGCACCAGCACCACTCTTTTGACGTTTTTCATATTTATTTTATTTAAGCAATTGTGTGGTGCAGAGATTGATGCCAAATAATGGGTCACTCTCAGATTTCTTTCTTTCTGCAATCATTTTTGAGTGAATTGGAAGGAATTAATTTTGTTAAAACTTATTGATTCAAATTTATTCAGAATAGTGATGTGAACTATTTGAAGAAAAACAACTTTAAGTAAAGAATATCCATTAATGGACGTTTTCAAAAACTTGAAAACAGAAAGGTTATCCGTTTAATAATGAGAAACAAGCAATGTGCCATTTTTGGGTCTTAATTAGCTGCATATAAATAAGAGCACATGCTGGCATGGTCCACCTTAAAAAAAAAAAAAAAGCACGACACGACATGAAAAAGCCACCGCAAGCCCACGATCATATGGGCCGTGCCGTGGGCTTTAGGAAAGGCAAGCTAGTCGGCATGGCACGGTCTGCAAAAAAAAAAATTAATGCCATTTTTTATATTACTTTCATTTTATGAAATAATATTTAAAAGAATAATTTTAGAATTAAGTAAATGGAAAAAATATTATTCAATTAAAATAAAAAGAAAAAGGAAGCAAAATAGAAAAATAAATAAATAAATAACATTAAACTGAAAAAATATTCTTTAGAAATGAAAGAGACATGATAATATTATGTAGGCCATAAGTATCCAAGAAAATGCCAAAACAAATTACAATGAGGCAAATTCAAATGGTCAGAGGGAGATTATCAAATCAACTTTAAAAATCCTCTTTGATTAATATTATAGAATTAACCAAACACTCAGAAAATAAAACTTCAGATATATAATTTTGGAAACTATAAAATTTGTTTTTATAGTATTGATTACCACCTTCTACATATGAAATTTTGAATTTAAATATATAAGAAAAAAATGTTTAATTTTCATATTATAGTTTAAGTTCCCAATAGAATTTTTTGTAAATCATGTGTCAATTCCTAATCATTAAGTCCAATTTTATTACCTTTAATTGTTTGTAGGTCCAATTATGTGATTTAGATCATATTTATATATGTAATTTGACCATATATTAACTATTAAGTTTAGGTTACTTATAATTGCTCCAAAATTATAATGTGTCACTACATAAGCCAAAAATAAAAATGTAAAAATATGAAAATAATATCATATAGTTACTACTTACTAGTCAATTTACACTTAGAGGTGGGCATTTGGGCTGGGTCCAAAAACCTAGCCCCAAAACCCGATCTTAAGACCGGTCCTAGGAGGCCTGGTCCCGTGACTCGGGCCCTCCTCCAAGGCCCGGGCCTGGGCCCAAATTTTTTTAGATTTTTTTAATTTAGTCCCCTGCATAATTACATAAAACCCCTTATAAATTTTAAAATAAACATAAATTACAAGGGTTAAAATAAAATTTTACAAAATTTATAAAAAAATAAAAAATAAAAAAATTTACTAACCGTTGGCAGCCCAACGGTTATAATTTATATTATAACCTTTTTTTTTCGTCAAAGAGGGTCGTGTCTGATGTATGGCGACACTTCACCAAATCAAAACGGCCAAGCCAAATGGGGAGAGGGAAGAATCGTGTGGGATATGTAATTTCTGTGGAATCATTATTGGCGCTGAGAAGGGGACTTCGACGATGCGACGACACGGGAGAAGAAGCACCCCCAAATAATGCAGTTGCCGAATATATCTTCAAGCGGATCAGGTAGACAAATTCAAACTCAACCTAATTTTAATCCACAATCCTCAACTCTTTCAACATGGAAATACAATGCATATGTTGCACGATAAGAAATAACAAGATTCATAGTTGCTACGGACTCTTCCATTTGTTTATTTGAAAATCATTATTTTATTCACATGATTAAAACTGCATTTTGTCCAGCATATACCCCTGTTAGTAGAAGTACAAGTAGAAGGGATATACTAAAACTTTATAACAAAATAAATAATAAACTTAAAAATGAATTTCAAAATTTTAGGAATATATCTATTGCACTTACATCAGACATATGGGCTTGTAGATCAAAAACCCTTTTTTTAACTATCACAGTACATTTCTTAGATCATAGTTGGGGTTTACAACAAAAATTGATAGATTTTAAACCATTATATGAAAAATATAGTGTTGAAACTATTTATTTTACAATTCTTGAAGTTTTGCAAGAATATTTATTAACTGATAGAGTTGTAGATAATACAGCTGCTAACACCGCGACAATCTCTTTATTTAAAAAGAGATTGGATCCGCGTGGTGAAGACAAATTTTTTCACCAGAGATGTGCTTACCACATCATCAATTTGATAGTTAAAGTAGGTTTAGATACTATACATTCGAAGATGGAGAGGGTGCGCGCAACTATCGGATTTATCGTTGGCGGTAGCAATAAAAGATGGCAGGAGTACGTCAAATATTGTAAGCAAGAGGACTCACCGATTCAACCTTTGAAGTTATGTACAGACATGCCTATCCGTTGGAACTCCACTTACTTAATATTGGAAAAAGCTTTGCCAACCACGAAACAAATTACAGATTTCGTCAACCGGAAGCACTATCCAAAGGAAGTTGTCAGCTATAATGATTGGGCGGTTTGTGAACTTTTTTATCAATTTCTTCAAATTTTTTATGATGCTACTAATACATTAAGTGGTATTTATTATCCGATTACTAATTTAGTGTTATTGCTAAAATTTTTACTCAATATAGATATAATAATGATTTAAGGGAAATTGTTTTAAAGATGGAAGAAAAATATGAGAGATATTGGTTAGATATTCCATTCTTATATGGATTAGGCCTCCATCACTGCCTGGGCTCCGGCCCAAATATAGGAAATGTAACCTAAGAGCACTGGGCCTCGAATACCTATCTGGTATTAAATAAAAATCTATGGTTGAATTGGAACTTTAAGAAAATATAACAAAAACCCTAGATCCGAGCCGTGCATAAATACCGAAAAAACCCAGTCCTTCTATTGGTGTTCCTTCAGCAGTCGAAGATGTCGAAGCGAGGTAAGTGCCCTCTATTTTGACTTGTTTTCATTTCCTTCATCACTATTTGCCTAAACATTTGTCTCATTTACTGATATAGCGACTAGATAGATCGTGTGATTTGATTCTCTCTTTATTTAAGGATCTGTTTGTTTGTCGATAACTCATAATAAATACGCACCAAAGCAAACGGTATACATGCTTTGCTTATGGATTTAAACATATTTTATGTAAAAATCTATTATTATTTTTATTTTTTTTTTTTTTTATAGTAAGGAGATTATATGTGTCCTGTTTAAACCAGTGGGAAAGAGGAGATATTGTCTAATTTGAAGAATTTTTTTTAAAAAATTTGGTGGCCTTAAGAGTTTGTCTGTACGTTGTGTGGTGGTTGTTTCTTGTTATTTTGGGGGGTGATAATTGAAGAAAAATGGTTTATTTGTGTTGGTTTTGGCTATAGGACGCGGAGGATCAGCTGGTAACAAGTTCAGGATGTCACTGGGTTTGCCAGTGGCAGCTACTGTGAACTGTGCCACAACACTGGGGCAAAAAACTTACATCATTTCAGTAAGGGAATCAAGGGTCGCCTCAACAGGTTGCCTCTGCTTGTGTTGGAGACTGGTGATGGCCACCGTGAAGAAGGGAAAGCCCGATCTCAGGAAGAAGGTTATGCCGCAGTCATTGTGAGGCAGCGCAAACCCTGGCGCAGAAAGGACGGTGTCTACATGTACTTTGAAGGTTAATATTCTTTCTTCAATGTGCTGTTTGTGGTTGTGTTAATGGTTGGATTTGTGACATTGTTGTTGTGTGATCTTATTTTACTTGTGATAATGAATTCTTTAATTTGCTTGATTACAATTGCTGCTGTTCTGTTGCTACTAATTGCATTTGAACATGTTGGATATATGTTAAATTGTGTTCTTTCTGTAGAATCATCTGTATATAGAAGTTGTAGATACATAACTGCTAGTTTTATCATGACTACTATCAACTAAACAGTGTTGCTAGTAAAGCGGGCATATTTCCCATACTTTGGATCTGTGTATGTATTATGGTTGATGCTTCCGAGACCAGCGATATATCATAGCAGTGAATTTATATTGAGTGGGATCTCTTCCATATAAAATCTTCCAACATTTCTTCTATGCCTCTTTGCCTTTTGTTGAATACTTTTACTTTTATTTAAAATGTTTTGAAGTGGCATTGCTTGGTTGTTTTGCTGGTGATGTGGTGCTGAGGATTGCTATTTTAGGTTTCTCTGCACCTCCCAACCCACGATAGTGAAATACCAACTTACCCTATTACCGATGGTAAAATCTTTATCATCCTGTCAAGGTTGGCATACTTGTAATTCGTTTGAGTTTAACATTAGGAAAAATGATTAGGAAGGTTATAGGATCATATTGAGCTTGCCATGTTTTGTTATCTGGCTTTAATAATCTCTGTCACCAGACATAAGTCAGGTATCCACCTCAATCTCAATGGTTGATCAGTTACGAGTCTGGAAAATTGAACGTGTCCATCGTTGCAGAAGTGTGATGTTTTTGAAGCTCTTTCTGCTCCATTTGGGCCCAATACTCTTTGTATCTAATAATCCATATTTCATATGTTTTGAGTCTCTGATATGTTCAAAGTCGAAAGCTTAAATGTTGCCCTGTTTTGCTGGTTCATTTCACAATATGACACAAATATTTGGACAATGAATTCTTCTTTTTATTCTTTTTTAAGTTTATGGAAGACAAATGTGCTTTTTGGTGCTAGTTTCTGATGAAAGTTTTTTTTTTTTTTTTGGGACAGATAATGC